CGTATCCCTCGATCCTCTTCTCACGATCGAGGGCCCGCTCCAACTCAGCTCGGGCATCAACGACATCCGTCAAATGAATCACCATCTCTTCATTAGCCTTGGTCCAACTCAATGCTGCTTTAGTCCGAGCATCGATTATTTCGACCCCGACCTTCGAGGGATCAAACTTTAGCTTTGCGATCATATCCACTTGAACCGAAGCTTGAGCCTGCACCTGAGCCCTCAATTCACCACAAGCATCCCCGACTCGGTCGTCTTCACCCCTATGGTACTCCAGAGCCTCCATCATTTTCTGCAACTAAGATAAGCCAAAAGCCTAACCTTAAGGGTCAGAAAAGCAAAACACTTACTACAAGAGGTCACCTGCCCCATCAAGTAGCTATCACAATTTGAGCTCCGGTACGCCTCATATTGCCAATGCATCAACTTAACCTCCTTCTCCTCACTAGGGAGCTTAAGGGACTTACCCACATACAAAGCTCTCCGAAGCCCAGCCTGCGACGAAGCAGCTCAGACCCGAGCCTATCAAAGTCCTGTAGAAGGAAAGCTTGGTAAGGAAGGAAAGACACGAGATGCGGAAGGACTGTGCCAAAGCTCACCACGAAGTAAAGCCGGTGGACTTCCTCAAAGGCCGAGCACATCCCTGTTCGTCCAGCCCCCTCAGCCTTGGTAGAACCAACCTCAGTTGAAGCATGATCACTCGGAGGAACCACCGCTCCGAAACCAAAAACTTCAGGAATAACAGGCCCAGGCGATGTTCTCTCGCCTGAGACACGGACCCGTTTAGCCCCGCTAAAAGTTCCATCGCCCTACGAGTGCATATCCCATTTATCGCCATCATCCTCTGGCTCGGAAGCCAACAACTCCTCCCCCTCTCCGGAGGAGCACAACCTCACCCCTAGGGGACTAGCCGATACATACAAACACCCGTATAAACACGAAAGAAGAAGGAAGACACAACTACTAAGTTTTCTCTCACCATAGGCAGAACTGGCGAAGCACGGGGTGCGCTACCGAAGAGTATTTCTCCATTTTCCAAAAAAAACAATACGGGTTCCTAAGGTATAATACTAGCAATCAACACCCGAGCAAAGCGACTTGTCCATGCTCGGTCTCTACCATCCCCGGCAGCAGCAATTAAGGCCATGATCAACCAGCACCATGGAGTCAGCAGACCACGATGACCCCGAAAACAGGAGAGGGAGCTTCCCCCCCTCAGATTAATCCCATCATTACCGCCATAGCAGTCGTAAAGCTGAAAGACTAAAAGGTAGAAAGATGTACAAGTGTGTTGATACCGAAAACATGGCGCGGAAAATGGCAACTGTGTTAGGCAGGGTAGCCCCTGGGAAGGTGGAAATAGCCTCATATTATATATTGGAAGAGCGGCGACGATTCGAAGCCGATCGAATACGCTAACCAATAGCACCATCTCTAGCCTCAAGGCAATACCCGATGTCGAAGATCTCCGTCATAGTAAGGTAGCGCTCCAGAGAGCCAACAAAGCCTTCACCAACACAAGGGTGGAACGCGGCTTCGGAGAGCTCCGCCAAAGGGGACCAATCTATGAAGAGATAAGCATTTTTTAAACGTCACCCGTACGAATCAGGCTCCGGGTGCTATCCGGGATGATCCGCGTGCGAGCGAACCTCCGCTCAGGGACTGCTTTCAGGAAATCACAAGAATCCCCCATCCAAGGGTCCCCAAGCAAATTTCTTCTCAAAGGTTATTATGAGGCCCAAAAACATTATCCTCATTTTCAAGCGAAGTCTGGGTCCCGGCGGCCTAAGGTTATTAGCCTTATTCGGGTTCAGCTCGAGGAACTACAAAGGGTCCCGTGTAAAGCTATTTCCATCAACCGAAGTTTGGAAGGAATACTCGCATCTGGGTTCAGTGTTAGCAATGACAAAACAGGATCGTGCATTCAGAGTTGCCGCAAACATAAAGAAATAAAGCAATTATCAAAGCCAAGAGTCAAGGAAATATCTTTGTATTCATAAAATGTTCGCTTACAATGGCCCTCGGGGGGTCTTTACATATGATTACAAAAGCCCGCAAGGGGATACTTACACATAAACAAAGAAGTTCAAGGGTATGCATACAACAAGAGTTTGTGAATCTAGCTTATTCCTAAAGTACGACATCTCTGGCATCGTCTCCTCAGGCGTGCGACCTCAAAGACAATATCTTCCAAGTCCAATCCCATTGGGGACCTCATCTCGACCCTCCCGTAATGGCATCTTCAAAAGGAAGGATATAGGAGAGGAATGTGATGGAGAAGAGAAAAATGATGAAGGAGAAGCCGAAAGAAGACAAGAAGTGGCTGGGTGAAAAATCTGGCTAGTGCGAACTCCGCCAGTACTACTATTATAAAGCCACTTCTTGAGACGTTGCCTCAGCCCGGGAGGCAACAGTCAACAAAGAATGTCACCATACCCCTAAGAATCCAAAGGGGGTGTAATACACCGAGCCGAGGAAGGAGGGTGAGCAACGGTGTATATCCGAGCCCCCTCTTGAGCAGCAGTGCATACTCAAAGTATTTCCCCGGTTCAGAGAAAATTGGTCCTCCATTTCATCGCCCCGAGCTGACGGAGACAACATCAACAACAACAACAACAATGGCATCACATAGTCACAATTTTGTCCGCCCGAAAAATGTTTGGGAGTTGGGCCATAGCACGCATGACATTGGCATGAGACCTTGAGACCATGGGCCTCAAACATGGTGAGACGGCAAATTAGAAAAAAAACAAGAAAGGAAGAAAGGATGGATATCGAATAAGGATTCAATAAAAAACTAATCACAAGAAGCCCCATTTATAGGAGGCCTTGCAAAGTAACCGACGATTCTATTATCTCCCTCAAAAGGCGTAACATCAGGTGCAATCAACGTGTTCATGAAAGCTGAATTGACGGTAACATTATGACCCCGAAGAACGAGGAGTCACGGCACGTCGGACGATCGTGAAGAAGCGAAGGGGTGAAATTCTTCGGCACTTGTAAAAGGGGTTGTACCATCAGGGTGATGTCATTATGGGAGCCCATAAAGTAGGATGTCAAAATCATTTCTTATCGTTTCCCTCTAAGAAACACAGAGACTATCTGTGTATCGTAAAATCGGCGAACCAATTTCTCGTTGGCAAATTTCTTTAGGAGGCCGCCCCAGAGGCTCGAGACCTCGAGCCGGTTATTTCCCTCAAGATCTGTCGACATCCAGCCAAGGGTAACATCGGCTGAAACCCCGACGAACACGGGAAGCTCCCGAAGAGTGCATTCAGAGTTGATTAAGTCTACCTGGGCAGCCTAACATTAGCCTATGTATACGTCATGAAGCTAGTTATCTGTCCCATCCCGTTCCCTTTACCACTCAACGTATCTTGTACTAAGTTTGGACTCCATCCCCCTTAGAAAAGGGGAGTCGTTAACATTCTGTAAGCAGAGCTCCAACTATTCTATATAAGATCAATAATATCTCTCTCTCTTTCTTCTTTCTAACTTGTTCGCTCTTACTCACTCAAGGCTACACTTTGCATTTATTGCTTTCATACTTGTTATTCATTTATTGCTTGGTATTGGCCATAAAGAGCCTCCTTTGATCATATTTTAACTGTTATCCCTTCCCGATTACCCCTGATAGATCGAGCTCGAGTCGGATATCGTCCCCGAGGTCCTTCATCGGCCTGTCCGAAGCCTGTGCAGCAAGCCCCTCGGTTTGATTACTGCCCTATTCTTGATCGTATTTCATCGTTAAAATTCGTACTCTTAGCATCAACTTCTCTATCAACTAGCATAAAAATAGATCACGTATTTTTAGAATCTCATTTACAAATTTAATTGTCATTACCATTTTCACGGTAAACAAAGTTGAAATCCTACCAGTGTGGGTTGTGGTTTTTTATCCCCTTGAGCAGTGATTTTTCCACCTAAAAAATCCCTGTATTATTTACTTACTGTTTTATTAGCATTCTGAGTGGAAACTCATAGAGAACCTGGTCTCTATATAGTTTGGTGGACTCATATATTCTAATAAGTAAACTTCCCTTTCTAGATTCCTTATCGTGCGACTTTATTCTTCTTGAAGCCCATATATATCTTCAATTCCTTCCTATTCATTCATATCTGATGTTATGAACTCGATATCAGTTGTGCGTCGGCCAGTGGTGTTGATTTTGCGGATGTTGAGTAGGACACTTTGTTACAAGGGGGTACAAATATCGCAGCTTTGTTGAGGGATTTTCCATCTATGGAGATCCGGTGTTAGTGTTTCCCATAGGTTTAGGGCCAAATATAGTGTGTTGTAATGTTTCATGCACTGGTCTTGGTGCGGTGTTAGTGCAAAATGGAGTTGAAGTCCTTTGGGAAGGATTGTCTGGTTCATGATTCAGAGTTGGTTGTTGGCGAGCGCAAAACACAACACAAAATTAATGCTCGCTAGTCAAATATAGTATGGTTTAATTATCGCCTTCACAAGTACTGAATTTAAACAGTGTTCATCGTTAGTTAATTGCTATCTAGGAGAATTAACACTTGATTAGAATAATTATCTCTACAATTAACTACTAAAATTAAAAGTAACTATCAATTGATCATAGAAAAAAAAAGTTGAGCAACAAAGAAATATTAGTGAGAGAAATAGGGTTAATGACTAGGCAGGTGAAAGTTAATTTACTCATAATCAAATTCTTGAATTAGTTCACTCTATAATACTGCTAATTCTCACGAATTCATCAAATAATTAGATTACACTTGAAGTTAAGGTTCCTTTTTCGATTAAACGTTAATTTCTAGAAATAATCCAATTGAAGCACATTGATCAATTGCAATGAATATTAAGAAGATATTAGTCTAAAGGGTAGCTTCTCACAAATATTTCTCATTTTCTAGTTCGATTAACAATTCAAGAGGCTCTTTCAATTACCTAATTGAATTACGTATTTAAACTAGAGCATAAGATGTAAATAAATTCAATATAAAACTCTTCTTTCGATTAAGCAAAATAATGAACAACTTTACAATATAATTCAACACTCCCTCATTTAAGTCAAGAAATTATCAAGAATCGAATCCCTTATCAAATTATCAATACACCATGTTTGTCAACACCCTAAGGAAAAACTACTTCATAGCAACGGAAAAAGTCATCTAAAAAAGGTTTAAAGACATAAAAACATCAATGTTAATGATTCAATACAAAAACCCGTATTACACTAATTGTTGGTTGAAATCTTGATGAAATCTTGTTTCTTGCCTTAGTTGCTTCTCAGATCTTTCATAGGTCCAAAGTTTTCCCAAAATCATATTTTTGGTGTATTTATACCATATAGAAGTGGGTCCGGATAGAACTACCCTTTCCTAGCAGAAGTGGGAAAACACTCTATCAATTTGCATAGGCCTGACGCCTCACGTGTCACGCAAATGGAGAAATTTAGAGAAAAGTTATTTTCAGTAGAGATATTCACTTGCACTGCCACGTCGCCTCACACGGCTTCCCATGCGGTATGATAGTGCTTTTTTCTCAGTGTGATAATTTTTCTCAATTTTAGTTATCCAGAATTGTTCATCGATCTCCGAACATGATCCTGGTTTAAATCTTGGGCTTTTACTCAGACTTCAAAGCTCCAACTTGTTCAATTTAGATCCAATTTGACTTTTTAACTCGGAATTATTTCCTGCAAGTCATAAAATACATAATAAATGCAAATCACCATTATTTAAGCACAAACACAAATAAAATGTAGTAATTAGAATGATATATATGGCTAAAACACAAGTTTTTAGCCTACCATAAATATCCCACACTTAAACCATTGCTCGTATTTGAGCAATCAAACTATACTTCACATAAAGACGACCTTTTCATCAAACAACTTTCCTAATTTATCATGCCAAGAATATTTAAGGGAGACTAAGCACCATGGTTGTAACGACCCCGGCCGGTCGTTTCATGAGTTACTGCTCCATTTCCCCCAATTCTACTTCTTTATGTCTTGTTCAACTGTATTATGAGGTATCAGATTGGTTGGTTCAGGTTCGGAGTGGGTTTGGAAAGGAATGAAACACTTAGTCTCTTTTGAGTAAGCTTAAGTTGGAAAAGTTAACTAGATATTGACTTATGTGTAAAACATCTCAGTTGTGAGTTCTTATGGTTCGGATAGCTTCGTTAGGTGATTTGGGATTTAGGAGCATGATCTGAATATATTTTGGAGATCCGTGATAGATTTAGGCTTGAATTGACAAAATTGGAAATTTGGCATTTTCCGGTTGGTAGTGGAAATTCTGATATCGGGGTCGATATGGAATTCTGAAAATTTGAGTAGGTCCATTGTGTCGTTTATGACGTGTGTGCAAACCTTTAGGTCATTTGGACGAGGTTTGATAGACTTTTTGATCATTTGTAGAATTCAGAAGTTTTGGAATTCTTAGGCTTGAATCCGAGAGTGATTTGGTGTTTCAGCGTTGTTTTGAGTGTTTCGAGGATTGGTACAAGTTTGAATAGTGGTATGTGACTTGTTCATATTTTTAGTTGAGGTCTCGGGGGCCTCGGGATGATTTCGGAAAGTTGTCGGAGAGATTGGAATTTAGTTTGAGCAACTTCAGCTGCGGATCCTGTCATAACCGCACCTGCGGATTGGGGACCGTAGGTGCGGGCTCGCAGAAGCCTAGGAAGGACTGCAGATGCGGCCAAGGTTTTGAAGTGCAGGAGCCGCAGATGGGGAGAGTTGAACGCACATGCGATGGTGCATGTGTGGGTATTTGAATGCAGATGCGGTTTTGGACAAATAAGTGACTTCCTCAGGTGCACACCTGGGACCGCAGGTGTGAGTTCACAGCTGCAGTATTGCTGGGTAGAGCAAATAAATAGATGCCTTCGTGAATTTTGGCTTATTTCATCAATTTCTCATTCGGGTTGGAGCTTATGGGAGCAATTTGAAGAGGGGATTCAAGGGAATTTTGTGGAGGTAAGATTTTTTGAGTTAAAACTTGTTTCTAAGGTGATATTTTACTGATTAGGCATGGAATTTGTGGAAATTAGTGGTTAAAAATTGGGGGTTTAGGGTTTGAAATTGGAGACTTTGATTTAGGGATTTGAAGGGTCGTTTGTGGTCTGATTTTGCTATATTTGGTATGTATGAACTCTTGAGAGTGTAAGGATTTAGTCTTGCAAATTTTATGGGAATTCGAGACGTGGGTCCGGGGGTCGGGTTTGACCAATTTCGGGATTTGTCATGTAATTTGATTATTTTCACGTGGGCTTTGTACCCTTAGCATATATTGATGTTATGGTTCTGATTTTGGTTAGTTTCGGGGCATTTGGAGGCCGAATCGAGAGACAAGTCGTTGCGGGCTAGAGTTTGGCTTGGCTTGAGGTAAGTAACGCTTCTAAACTTGGTTCTGAGGGTTCGAAACCCTGAACTATGTGTTCTATGATTACTATTGAGGTGACACAAATGCCAAGTGACGGTTGTGTGGGCGTGTACCGTGAGAATCGTGGCATGGATCATTCCATGGCACCACTTAGTGACTTTTTCTTGCTGATATCTGTGTTGTACTTATGTGATTAAGTTAATGATCTTTAAATCATGAAAATTATCCTGTTAAGGCTTTATGCCAATACTATTGAGACCCAAGAGGTCGTTTCTTGCTGTCATACTATTAGCTTCATTGATAATCTATACTCAGTCATGTTCATGCATATTTTATAATGACTCAGTCTCGATTATTGTTATTTGATACATCATATCATTGTCTGGGATAGTATCATGACATTTTGAGCCCATGTGTGTGATACTGGAGAGTGATGACTGAGTGAGACCGAGATCCTGATATTGAGTGATAGTATGGGATCGGGCTGCACGCCGCAGCGAGATGTTAAACATGCCTTCATTGGCTTATTATAGCACTTGGGCTAAGAGAAGCCCCTCCGGAATCTTTACACCCCCAGTGAGCACAATTGATGATATTGGGGGATGGATCTTCCCTGGACATGGATCTTGTCCGAAGTACCGATACCTGGAGATGGATCTTCTCCTTAGGGATGGAATGGCCTTCCTTTGTTCTGGATGACTATGATCAATGATATATATATATTCCGGGATGGATCTTCCCTGGGCCGGATGGCCATATACAGTACCGAGTGGTTGAGCAGTTGTGAGTAGAGGTATACGGAACATTGATCATGCTATTTATGCATTGGTACTTAGAGATTTCTTGAGCTTTATACTCGATACTGGTCATGTTGTATTTACTTATTGCTGAGCTTTTACTTGAAATGTAAGCATGTCTACTTTTTCAAATAGTTATTTGTATATCTGTTGAGGTTTGGTTCGTCACTACCCGTTAGTCCATACCTTTTACTTACTGAGTTGGTGTACTCACGTTATCCACTGCACTTTGTGTGCAGATCTAGGTGTCTCGGTCCACGGTAGAGGTTGTTGATCTTATCGGTTGGAGCCTTTTCCTTGGAGATTGCGAGGTAGCTGCCTGCGATCGCAGTCCCGCCTTCTCCTTTCTTATCTTCCTTTTTAGTGTATTTGTTGGCTACTCTCAGACTGTATTAGTCTTGTTTTATTTCAAACCGTTGTAGTATGTTGCTCATGACTAGTGACACCTGAGGTCGGGCTTGTATTTTCTGCTTGTTTTGATTTTCACTATATATATTTTATCTAGTTCTGTCAAAAATATTATTTTATTTAAGTCAAAAAATGAAATATGGAGTAAATGGATAATAGTTGGCTGGCCTAGTATCACGATAGGCGCTGTAACCACCCGGCCGGTCGTTTTTAAGAATTAACGCCCTGATCCCCTATTAACTGTTTTCCCAATGTTTATTTCTGCTATTGTGAATTGTCGGGAGGATTAGTTGGAGTTTCGGAGTGTTTTGGGACACTTAATCCATAAGTGAGAGCTTAAGCTTTAGAATTTGGATCATAGTCAGAGCAGTGTGAAGACGACCTCATAATGGATTTTTGTTGTTTTCGTTAGCTCCGTTGGACAATTTCAGGCTTAGGGGCGTGTTCGGATTGTGTTTTGGAGGTCCGTAGCTTAATTAGGCTTGAAATGCCGAAAATCGAATTTTTAAAGTTTCTGGTTCGATAGTGAGATTTTGATATCAGGGTCAGAATGGAATTCAGGAAGTTGGAGTAGGTCTTTCGTGTTATTTGGGACGTGTGTGTGAAATTTCAGGTCATTCAGACAAGGTTTGATAGACTTTTTAATCGAAAGCAGAAATTGGAAGTTTTGGAATCCTTAGGCTTGAATCCGAGGGTGATTTGGTATACCGGCATTGTTTTGACTGTTCCGAGGGTTGGTACAATCTTGAATAATGGTATATGACTTGTTTGTATTTTGGGTTTACATCTCGGAAGCCTCGGGATGATTTTGGAAGGTTGACTAAAAGGTTTGGGAGATATTGAAGCAACTTCAACTGCTGAAGACTGTCATAACCGCACCTGTAGTTTGGGGACCGCAGGTGCGTGATCGCAGAAGCAATAGAGGAGCCACATATGTAGCCAGGCGCTTGGAGACTAGGATCCGCAGGTGCAAGAAGTTGAGCGCACCTGCGAGACCACAAGTGCGGTAAAAGAAGCGCAAGTGCGGCCTAGTGCTTTAAGTGGAATTTCGCAGATGCGCACCTGGGACCGCAGGTGCGGAAACCCTGGGCCAGAACCTATATAAGGTTTCTGTCGCGATTTTAGCCTATTATTACACAATTTTTATTCGAGGACTTAGCTTTTTGTCAAGGTTTTTCAGAGAGGATTCAAGGGAGCTTCAAGGAGGAAAGATTTTTGGAAACCCAAACTCATTTATATGGTATTGTTCTACTGATTTGGCAAGAAATTCATGGAAAAATAAGGGTTTGTTTTTTTTTTTATGGAAAATTGGGGGTTTAGGGTTTGAAATTGGAGACTTGGAATTGGGGATTTGAGGGGCTGTTTGTGGTCCGATTTTCGTGTATTTGGTATTTATGAACTTGTGAGAGTGTGATGATTCTAGTTTTGCAAATTTTTTCCGATTTTGTGACGTGTGCCCGGGAGACTTTTTAGGCGATTTTCTTAATTTCACGTGTTAGCTTCGAATTAATTAGTTGAATTAGTTACTTGAAGTTATATTTACATTATGCAATTACTTTGTATATATTTGGGTCATTTGGAGTTGGGTACTCGTGGCAGGAACGTGATATCATGTTGATTGAGCTGGTTCGAGATAAGTGGCTTGCCTAACCTTGTGTGGGGGAACTCCCCTTAGGATTTTGTATTGCTGATATATGAAATGCCTTGTACGTGAGGTAACGAGTGCGTACATGTGCTAATTGCTGAAAATTCTATTTTTATTAAGTAATTGTACCGTGTTTTTATTCCTTGTTTATACTACTTGCAATTTAAGCCTATTGTAAGCTTAGGGAAGCATATCTAAGTGACTTAATTGCTTTAGTTGTTCAAACTACTTTATTTGAATTGTGTGTAGCATGCTAGGTTAGAAATACTTGTTTTACCTCGGTATGAAATTGGATTGAATTGAATATTCTTCGTGTTGCTGTTGTGTGTTTACTTTGGGACTACGGGCGATATCCCGATAGTTCCTCCTTGCCGATTTATTTGGGACTACGGATTGATATTCCGGTAGATCTCCCTACACATTTATATTGGAACTACGGGACTGCACCCGGTAG